TTTTCCTTTTCTCCCTACAAAATATAGCCCCTTTTGCTCTACTTTGTTTTTTTGGTAATAGTGTGATTCTTCTTTAATTATTTACCCACGAATAACCAAAAATCTAGTAATCTACATGTACAACAGTTTTATGAGTTCTTAAATAGTTAAAATTTTTTAATATCCAAATATTTCTGGAAAATGCATAAGAATTACTTACAAAAAAGGCAGTCCAGCAATTTAATGATCAAATCCACAGTATCCAATTTCATGTGATTTATCAAAATCTCTAAAGTATGCAATTTTAAGGCGTTTAGTTATTGGGCCAGAAACCCAAATTGATTTAAGGGGAAATCTCTTTTAATTTTGTCAATTAACCCATAACTTTGATCTTATCTAGCTTTTAACCAACTAGTTATAAAATTACAAAACAATCCTTGGTTGAGTTTCAATTTTCGTTTCTTTCAATGTTAAACTGTTCCAAGAGAGGAGCAAAGTAATTCTTGGTAGTTACAAGAAACAAGTAAAAATAAAAGTTGGAGTCTTTATGCTTCAGAGACATCAACATTGTTCAAAGCTTCTTCTGGAGATGATGATGATGCATCATCTTGAAGACTTTCAGAAGCTTCATCAGACGGCTGAGATTCATGCTTAGCAGCAGCCTGCAAAACCCGGCTTCGAACATCCGAGGAAGAAGGTGAAGTTGGGAGACCAACACCATTCGTCTCGAGTTTTCCTGCAGCCCATGAGAAAGCCTGAGCTCCAAGTCTCACTGGTGCAATCAACAACCTTTGAAGAAGAAGAAACAATCTTTGTTAAGACAAAACAGAGGTTTTGCTAAGGTTTTGTTATGGGAGATGGGTCCAATGACGGGGCTTTTATACCTGACGTCTTGCTTGAAGTCTTCGGAGTCATTGTATGAAGAAAGTCGTTGGTATATAGTCTGCATAATGTCTTAAGACTTGAGAAGCAAAACAAAGAAGCGATAATTTGATCGGTAAAACTTAGAAGTCAGTAAGTGGGAGTAAATATAATACCAAACCGAGGCCAATGACAGCTATGAGTTGCAGTGTTTTCTCCCACTCTGCGAGAGATAAAACAATCATGTTACTGCAATTTTAAAAGCAAGAAGAAGAGATTCTAAAGTGGAAATGAGAAAGTACTAAACGCACCAGACAAAGCATACAATGCTGCGAAAAAACCCTGCATAGACCGCATTGTGTTAGTCGCGATGCGGTTAATATGTTAAGAAATAGAAGTAAAACACTAGAAACATACCACACCAACTCCAACTACTTGCAATGGAGAAGGATTTATGTCCTCAAGAATCGCCTCAGCTTCCTGAACATTATTCAGGAGGTACTTAACTCACAGATGTAAAGATTCGAGAGTAGTTTCATTTCATCTAAATCAATAGTTCAGAAAAAAATATCTTCATTCACATGGTATTACCTCGTTGAGGATGCTAAGTGTCGTCTCAGGTTTTGGTTCTTTCACACGAAGACCTTCCTTAACCCATGATCTAAACCCACCTTGCACCAAGTATGGCCTCTGTTACATTATAAGCAACCAACGGAGAGCTTATTCAGAAATGTTTTCAAGGTAACTATAATACTCAAAGTAAACTCGACCTGAATTACTTGCCTTGATCCCAAGTTTTCTCAAGGCTCTTGCAATGCCCTTAGAGCGAGTCCCATCAGCATCCATAACAATAACCTTGGAACTGTCCTATAAGTAGCAGAGTAAGCAAAGTTTATGAGATGTCAGCCTACTTCAGAAACTGAAACTCCACCATTTAATTGCTTGGGCATGCACAAAATCATAGCAAGTTACAAAATCAATACCTGAACTGCTTTTAAGTTCTTGATGATAACTGCTGTCAAGGTATCATCAATTTCATTTCCACCTTTGAGTAGCCGTTTAACAGCACCGTCAACCTTAAACATGAATCAAGAACAAGAACCATAAAACTGTGAAGAGAGGAAAGTCTTTTATCATGCTTGCTGTTTCATTGAGTTTTCTCGCAATGATTGCTGAAATTTTGTTGTGTTAGTGTATTAGATCTGTGGAGTTTCTATATTCAGTGTGGTCAATAAGAATGAGGATGCTGAAACCAACCTCAGGCACTGTCACACTAGAATATCGAAAACGAGCTCCTCTCCGCAGATCAGGTATTCCATCTTTTTCTCTCAATGCCTTCAAAATGACAGAAAAGCGCAAATGAATCTTTTTATTTCAACTCAAAATGAACAATGAACTCGTTGGAAACTTAAGAGCGTCTTACTTCAGGCCTGACATCTACGAGCACTGGCTTTTCGTTTGATGTTAAAAGCTCAAGAGTTGACTTTGGAGACAAATCTCCAGCATATCCACCATATGTCCAAACCCGATATAGAGTCCTGCAAATATCTGGTGGAAAATATAATTCTTCTATACTACATTGTTCTTCTCTCAATCAAGGCAAGTATGATATCCATTCAGGGTAAGAAAAGCCGTGTACCAAAAGGTTCCGGTGGCGCCTACGAAGAGAAATAGGTGAATGATTGGATCATCTGGATCCACGCCGAAATTTCTCTCCAAACCTCCAATGGCAACATACACCTATTCATCATCATGGCGTTAGAAACATGTAGTCCATCAAAGGTTAAGTTTATTTACAAAAAATATAAATGGAATCTTCAGTATAAAAGACAAAGCACCTGCTCCAACACAGCTCCCACGGGCCTTAGTACTTTTCGAGCAACCTCTTCTGATGAGTTAAAGGCACTTTTAACATCTGGAGGAAGTAATTCCTTTGCTGATCCATAAGAGTACACAACAAAAGAAACTCCATTTGCTACAGAACTCTCTGCAATACCAACTGATTGCCTCAACAGATCAATGGCAACAATAGCTGCTCTGTTTGAAGCTTCTTTCAAGCCCGCAGAAAAGCTTGAAAACTTGTCTTCAGCTATATCTCCTGTTTGGTCTAGCGTAGAAAACGCAGTGTTAAATGCACTATCTACAGCCTCAGAAGCATTCTTAGTAATGGATGTCAAGGTCGAGGAGAAAGAATCCAAAGTGTTCTTCACAGCATTTTCTCCTTGGTTTAATGACGAACTGAAAGACTCCTTCACCCCAGAAGAAAAGTCATCAAAGCTAGCTTTTGCATCGGGAAGTGACCCTGGATTGAGATCTAGAGTATCGGGCAGAGAGACAGAAGTATCCAGAGATATATCAACAGATGAGACTGTTCCCGGTTCAGCCGAGACTATAAGGCTACTAGTGTTTTCGGTTGAAGTCTGAGCAGCAAGGTTTTCAACAGGGGAAACATCTGCTGTACTTTCTACATATGTAAGTTCCCCATTTCTTACATGACAAAGATCGCCCGCTACAACAGCTTCTCTCATGTCATAAACCATGTAGTTCACTCTGCCCAACTCATTCTCACACAAACTTCTGAATGTGGATATCGGTTGTTCTGTGTTTTCGATAGTACCGGTGAAGAAACTCCCAGTGGCTTGAGTTAAGCAACTATTCTGCAAGTGGGTTCCATTAGAAATGACAAAGAAGGCATTTTCACCAGAACTGCATCTATGAATGGACTCTCTCCTAAAGGAAGAACAGCCTCTCCAATTGCCAGGAAATAAAGTCTGCAGAAACAATCCATCATGAGTTACTTGTCTATGCGAATGAATCCAAAACCTTAAATCTCAAAACATCATATCACAAGAAAACCATACAATCCCATAGCTCAAATTAGATAATTTAAATTTTTTTCCTACCAATTAGGCTATCTGCTTCCACTTCTATAAACAGAAAAAATCTCACCTGAGAATGGTAATGGCAGCTTGTGGCCGAGCACAGAGGAAACATTTTGGTCAGTCCTGGATTCTTATAGCGATCTCATAGCTTTCACAACAAACCGGAAAAGAAACAACAGATCTAATTCAGATGAAAAATGACAATCCAGTAAACCTGAGCCAGAAAAAAAGAATGTCCCAAGGAGACAAAAATCAAAGACCAAGAAGATACAGACAACAAAGACTCCAGCAGCAGATTTACACTAATGGGTTTTGTCTGAAACCTGCAACGAAGAATACCCATTATCCAATTACCAACTCTGATCATGTAAGAACCTTAAAGAGGTCAAATTTGGCGATAAACAGTAGAAGAAACTCAAAAGAGAGATCAAATGCAGTAACTTTAACCTATCTGGGTCAAGATCGAGTATGGAGTTTCATGAGAAGAGTGAACTGAGCTTGATGAAATTATCTGTAATGGCGATTGTATTGAAAAAAGGTAAAGGCGCGTGGATTCGAAAGAGATTGTGTTGGAATTTGGATTGGGTGGAGGAAGATAAGTGATAGAGAATCGTGTGGCTTGTCAAAGCCGTTACTTCAATCTCTGATCTCTAAATTTTTTTGCCTCTGAATGGGGTCAATTCGTGACATTGTAAAACTAATGGGGCCAATGTCAAAGTTACCAAAACTTTATATACCTTTTCATAAATTAACTACATAATTTCACACGTGTCGTAATATGATTGCGTTTAGTCCGTGGGGTGAGTTGTAGCCGATTTGCTTTTCCTCGTTCACCTGTTCGTCTCTACGACTTAGCGAAATTGTGCATCTGATCATCTCTGTAACCTCTTGCTTCCTTTCAAAGGTGAGTTCCTTCTCTTATGAGTAATGATTCGATTCGATTCGATTTCTCTGAAGAAATCATCTCTCTGATTTCTCTAATTATGAATCTTCGATTTGCGTCTATTATTTTGCTATTCTCGGAAGTATTAGATCTCTGACTTTTTGTATCGGATTTTGTGAGAAATTTTATGAGCTTTTGATTCAGTGATTAGAGATTTGGGAAGATGATCACTCAGTTTTTGTTTTATTTGGCGTTGTTGAATAATTGAGTATAGAATTAACTATGCTGCATTTTGGAATTCCATTGCTATTTTTACTTTACAGATTTCATTGTTGTTTTGTTAGATTTTTGGTTCCAAATCAAATCTTGGTAAGTGAAGCTGTCAAGAGGGCACCTTCTCCGCTTAGTCCTGAGGTCAGATGGATCTGCGTCCGCCAGGTGAGTTCTCTTTTGTGGTCTCCCCTTTTCTCGCCGTGTATCGAGTATACATTGTGTTTCTTTTCGATCATTTGGTCGGCTAATTTCGTATATTTTCTTGCAGTGGGTGGTCAGAAGACATCTATCGTTGTTGTCACCTTAGACTCTGGTGAGGTTTATGTCATTGCGAGTCTGTTCTCTAAGGCTGACACTCAGGTTATCTATGTCGATCCTACGACCGGTATACTGCAGTACAATGGGAAGTCTGGTGTTGATAATTTTAAGTCAGAGCGTGAAGCCGTAGATTATATCACGAATGGATCAAGAGGGATTTGTAGAAGCTCAGTTTATGGCAGGGCAATACTTGGTTATGCTGTCTTGGGGAGCTTTGGGATGCTTCTAGTTGCGACCAAGCTAAATCCAAGTATTCCGGATTTGCCTGGTGGAGGATGTGTTTATACAGTGGCTGAGAGTCAATGGGTTAAAATACCACTTCACAATCCACAGCCTCAAGGGAAAGGTGAAATTAAGAATATTCAGGAGTTGACAGAGCTTGACATCGACGGGAAGCACTACTTCTGTGATACTCGAGACATCACCCGACCCTTTCCAAGCCGCATGCCAGTGCAAACCCCTGATGATGAATTTGTTTGGAATAGATGGTTGTCCGTGCCTTTTAAGAACATTGGGCTGCCTGGCCACTGTGTCGTTCTTCTCCAGGTTCGTCCTCCATTAATGCATTAGTGATTGTGATCAACGTATCAGATTTTAGTTCTATGTAAAGTCTCAAAAGCATTCGAATTCATATTCTAAGATGACGTGACATCACATCTCGTCTTCTTATTTGATGTTAATTATAGGGGTTTGCAGAATATAGACCTTTTGGGAGTTCAGGTCAAGTAGAAGGGATTGTTGCTCTAATGGCCCGTCGTAGCAGACTGCATCCAGGGACTCGTTACTTAGCTAGGGGCATAAATTCATGTTCTGGCACAGGTGAGATGCTACCAAAATTCCACTTTTCTTTTTATTTTTTTTGTCTGTTGTTAACACTACAATTAGTTTTCAATGTTTTTGGTTGGGCTTTGTGCCTACCAAACTATGGGCATTTGTTTGGCTTCTTACTTCCGATGGCACCCTTAAAAGCATTGGCTGTCTGGAAGAAAGGCATACATTTAATGTAAATGTGGCTCTGGATTTGACTAGGGCCTAACTGTTGAAGTATATGTGTAGTGCAGGTAACGAAGTTGAGTGTGAGCAGCTTGTATGGATACCTAAAAAGCATGGTCAGAGCATTGCTTTTAACTCATACATTTGGCGACGTGGCACCATACCAATATGGTGGGGTGCAGAATTGAAAATGACCGCGGCAGAAGCAGAAATTTATGTGGCAGAGAGGGATCCGTATAAAGGAAGCACAGAGTATTACCAAAGGTTAAGCAAGCGATATGATACTAGGAATCTAGATGCAACGGTTGGGGAAAATCAGAAGAAAAAGGCTTTTGTTCCTATTGTGTGCATTAACTTGTTAAGAAATGCAGAAGGGAAATCAGAATCTATCTTAGTTGAACATTTTGAAGAATCGATGAACTTCATCAAATCCAGTGGAAAGCTGCCTTCTACTCGTGTTCACTTAATAAATTATGATTGGCATGCCAGTGTCAAATTAAAGGGGGAACAGCAAACAATTGAAGGATTATGGATGTATCTAAAATCTCCCACTATGGCAATAGGAATCTCTGAAGGTGACTATTTGCCTTCAAGACAAAGACTGAAAGATTGCAGAGGTGAGGTCATCTGTATTGATGACGTTGAAGGGGCCTTCTGTTTGAGATCGCATCAAAATGGGGTGATACGCTTCAACTGCGCTGATTCTTTGGATCGAACAAATGCCGCTAGTTTCTTTGGTGGTCTTCAAGTGTTTGTAGAGCAATGTAGAAGGCTGGGAATATCACTTGATACTGATCTTGGATATGGTTATAATTCTGTTAATAGCCAAGGCGGATATAATGCTCCTCTTCCACCCGGATGGGAAAAAAGAGCTGATGCAGTCACTGGAAAATCGTATTATATAGATCACAATACTAAGACAACAACATGGAGTCATCCATGTCCTGATAAACCATGGAAGAGACTTGACATGAGGTTTGAGGAGTTTAAGAGATCAACAATCTTATCTCCTGTGTCTGAGCTCGCAGATCTCTTTCTGCAACAAGGTGATATCCATGCAACCCTCTATACTGGCTCAAAAGCTATGCACAGCCAAGTTCTCAATATCTTCAGTGAAGAATCAGGAGCGTTTAAACAGTTTTCTGCAGCACAGAAAAACTTGAAAATTACCGTACAGAGAAGATATAAAAATGCAATGGTTGATAGTTCACGGCAAAAGCAGTTGGAGATGTTTCTGGGAATGAGGCTTTTCAAGCATCTTCCATCAATTCCTGTACAGCCTTTACATGTAAGAAAATTGGCACACTTCCAGTCCCCTTATTTCCATCTAACAGTCACCTTTTTCATTGTATATAAAGTGGTCTAAAGTATAAATCACATTTTTTTGTAGCGTAGGTAGATTTTTGCTTCAGTTGGACAGAAGCAAATTTTTTTTCTTTTTTGCGGAGATATATGATTCCTGAGAAAATATCTTCTTTGTTAATATGTAGAGTTTATAATTTTGTTGCTTTCTGATTTCTTAGTCCACCGCTCACTGCAACTATGTTAATGTTACTGCACACTACAATTATTTTCATGCAGGTTCTTTCTCGACCATGTGGTTTCTTTCTCAAACCTGTACCTAGTATGTCCGAAAGTTCCAGTGATGGGTCTAGTCTGCTGAGTATCAAGAGGAAGGACATAACTTGGGTACCTCCACTTGGACATAACATTACCTCTTAGTTCTCATTACTGGAAAACTTGAGCTAAAAATTTTCCTTGCTTTTTATATACTTTGCAGTTATGTCCACAAGCTGCAGATATTGTGGAATTATTTATCTATCTCAGTGAGCCTTGCCATGTATGCCAACTTCTACTGACCATATCCCACGGTGCGGATGATGTGACATGTCCATCCACTGTGGACGTGAGAACTGGGCGCCACATAGAGGACCTTAAATTAGTTGTTGAGGTTGACTCTCTTTAGGTCTTGTCCCTTCTCTTTTGTTGTATGGAGGAGATCATGTAGACTTACATGCAAGTTAGTTCAACTGGATAACCAATTATGTTTTGTGGACAGGGTGCTTCGATACCGCGCTGTGCAAATGGTACAAATCTTCTGATACCCTTACCAGGGCCAATTAGTGCTGAGGATATGGCTGTTACTGGAGCTGGTGCACGTCTTCATGAAAAAGATACGTCAAGTCTTTCACTGCTGTATGATTTTGAAGAACTAGAAGGACAATTGGATTTCTTGACCCGTGTAGTTGCTGTTACATTTTATCCAGCTGGTTCTGTTAGAATTCCTATGACTCTTGGTCAGGTACTAACTAATTCAAAACTGTGAATTGATGATTTATCTATTAGCTTCATCATGCTCTGAATTAGTTTTGGTTTATGCTTTGCCATCTTAAATGAAAAAAAAAAAAACAGTTTAAAACAAACACTTTTTCTGCATTGGGTTTGTGCTGCAGATAGAAGTCCTCGGAATTTCTCTTCCATGGAAAGGAATGTTTAGTTGTGAACGTACTGGGGGAAGATTAGCTGAAGTTGCAAGGAAAACAGATGAAGATGAAATTCCTTTTTCATCTTCTTCTGACTCGAATCCGTTTGCTGCAAAATCTTTACAGACTGAAACTGTGTCCACACCGGTACAACAGAAAGATCCTTTTCCCAGTAATCTGATTGACCTTTTGACAGGAGAGGACTCTTCTTCTGACTCCTTCCCACAACCAGCGGTGGAAGGTATCACAAGTGTAGGCAGTGACATGCTTGATTTCTTAGACCAACCAGTTGTTGAATATAGTGGCTCTGAAACTGTCCCTGGCGGGTCTTTCTCACAAGATAAAAGTCCTAGAGAAAGTGGCTCTCATCTGTACTTAAATTGTCTGAAGTCCCTTGTGGGTCCAAACATGGTATGCTAGTTCATCCTTGATAATTTAACTTGGATAGGGAAATGGTATTTGGAGATGCAATTACTTCTTCTCACAAATTATTTTTGATCGTATGATTCTTTTCTTGGTTTGGCTATATTCTTTCACATGTTATCTTCC